AAAAAGATCAAGACATGCCCGCTCTTGTATTTGAGTGGAATGAGGCAGGTTTCAATGATGTTCCCACTGATCCAGGTCTTCGAAATGGCATTGCTGGCCAAAACAGGGTTGCTATTATCACAAATCTTACAACAAATGGTGCAACAAACTATAATAATATCTTATTTACATTTCCAAATGGCAATGCTATTGGAACATGGATTGATCAGATACGCGTGAATATACCATGGTATGATGAAGATTGATTCCTTGTTTTCCGTATTCTTTAACATCAACTCTTCCTTGTATTCGCTAAAGGGCAATGAGTCAACCAGGCATTCCAAATGTTTGCACTTCAGTCACCAGAATCAACCAAATTACTGAATGTGATACAGGCACACCTTCAACTGCGTTTGATCTTGAGAAATTTTCAACTCTCTTAAATCTTTATTAGTTGATGTTGTTAATTTTACTGGTTTTTGATTTCAAAAGGATATCCGGTGGTATTTGAGATGATACACACCCTCAGAAATCATTTCCCGATATCTACTGTCTCTGACAATGATATTTTATTACAACGAAATCAAATTTCTTCAGTATCAATACTTGCTTTGATTCAGTACAAAAATATAATAAAAATAGTAATGATAAATTGGTAAGAAAAAGTCAAAAGTATGGTTTATAATAAAACATTAGGACAATTTTCCATTCTCCATAAAAGATACAGGATTACAACACCCAGAAATCTCGCGTAAATACTTGAAAAAAACTCGGAAAGTTGTAAAAATATAAATTAGGTGCAGGCAAAATTAAGCATATAAAACATATATTGCGACTCGAAGAGTCATAATACTGTAATAATGGTCATAAAAGATTTTTCGTATGTAAATATATCAATCGCACTTTCTTCGTGTTTCATCCATGTAACGATTACGACTCATCATGGGCTCAATCACGGCCCGTCACTATTGATTAAGCACCTTGCACTTGCGAAGTAAAAAATTAGATTCGAAGCTTTGAATAAATATGCTTTCTATATAAAACTGTTGATACCCAAACATGTCGTCAGAGTTGGAATTATTGAAACAGCAAATCATTGCGCTTGAGGCTAGAATGCTGAAGTCAAAGCCGAGAATACGAAATTAAAGCAGGTTATGGAAGAGAATATCGAGCTTAAGGCCAGAGTCGCGAAATTGGAACAGATTGCAGAGGAAAATTCTGAGCTTAGGCTAGAGTCGCGAGATTGGAACAGAAGCAGTTACAAAAAGATCCCACTCCTCGCCTATATCACCGGAAGATAAAGAGGTCAATGATTTTGTGGATTTGAAAGGTAAAGAAAGGGTTAGTAACAAAATAAGAGATAGAAACAAAGAAAAATGGCTTCGGCTGGAAACGAAGTCCAAGACCTATCGCAATTTCATGAAATTACATCTAATAATACAAAACCCGTTCCCCAGGGAAATTATAAGTCATGTGATCTTAACTGGCAAACTGAAGTGTTTGGACGATGAAATTGGTAAATACAAGAATTGCATTTACCTACTAAAGAAAACGACAACTCTATCAAAATTAGCAAATCAAGTGACTTTAAAAACTATTCCCTCAGGGAACGATCAGAATCTAATGTACAGAATACACTTTCTCCGAAAGATAATATATTGCCAAAAAATAAGATTCCATCTATAGATTACACAAGTACAGTATATCAAGTATATCGACTCATGGTCGTGTTTATTTTCATAATAAAATATTAGGTCAATACCCGATATACAGTCGGGGACAAAAAAAAAAACACCTTTTTTTCAATTAATATTTTTAATTATAATCTAATAAATAATTATGAAATTTTACAAAAATATTCTTTAGAATATAAAAAAAAAAAGATATAAATTTTATTGAAAAATATGTATTTATTTAATTTTATTTTATTTTAAATTTAAAGAAGTAAAATTTATTTGTAAGTTAAAAATTATTTTAAAAATTATTATTTAAAAAAATTATTATAAAAAATTTTAATAAGTTATTTTATAAAAAGTGCTTAAATAAATTTTTTTTTTAGATTATAAAATATATATATATATATAAATTTTTATATAAAATAAATAAATTTTCATTATGTATCAAATAAAAATAACATTTAATTTATTTTTTTATTTAAAAATTACATTTTACTTAATTTGGATATAAAATGGCATAGCTGTATAACCTTAAATTTTTGTAAATTAGCCTAAAAACTTTTGTATCAGATTATATAACAATAAATTATTTGTTTGCAATTATATAAAAATACTTTTTTATTCTATGTATAAAAATTAATATTCAATTATTAATACTTATATTATATATCAGCTTATATAAAAGTAAACTTTATTTGATATTAATATTTTATATTATAAATAAATTTATAAATTTTCTGTATAATATTATAATACAATATTATAATATTATATAATTACAGATATAATATTTATAAATATTAATATTTTAGCTTTTTATTTTATCATTTCCAAAAACTAATAATGTTTTTTTCTAATATAATTATAATATAAATATATTTTAAATTATTTTTTTTTAGAATTTTATAGAATTTAATAAAAATTTTATTTTAATATACCGTATATATATAAAATTTAATAAATAAAATTTAATTAAATATATATAAATTGATATAATAACCATCTTTTTTATTAATAAAAAAGCATAAAAATACTTTATTTTTTACATATTATATATATGAAAAATTAAGTTATTCCAAAGTAAACATTAATAATAACTTTTGACATATGTTTTACTTTATATATTACAACTTATTTTAGCTTTATTAAAACAAAATTAATAAGATAAAATATATTTAAGAACCAAACAAAAAAATTAACAATATAATATTTAAAATAAAAAGAACTTTTCAATAAATTAATTTTCTAAGTATAAATTTATATTTTATATAATATTGTAAATAATAATTTAAATATATTCTATTAAAACTTAAAAAACTTAAAAAACTTTTGATTTAAAAAATATTAGTTCAAACTTAATAGAAATCAATTGTTAAATTCTCTTGTTTAGTCACAAGTTTTATCCATATATTAGTATCCACATCAATAATTGTCTTCAGAGTTACCTAACCTTAGTGAGCATGTTAAATAACAGAAAAGATTTTAAATAGACATATAAATAATATGTATTTTTATTTTTTTATTTTTATAGAAAATTTAAAGAAAATTTTTTTATTTTTGTAAAAACTTGAATTGTATTTCTATTTTAAGTTAATAAAATAATTATTTCTCTTAAACACTTGTATTTTTTGTGATTTTCTTTCTTGATTAAATACAACTTGTTGTTTAAGCTGTTATGATATATTTAAATTCTTACAGTTATAATAAGTAAAAAAATTTATTTATAATTTGTAAATAATTTGTTAAAATATTTTATTATATAATTTATCAATATATATATATATATTTAAAATTACTTATTAAATGAAATTTATAATATTGATTAATATTATATCATGTAAATAATAATAATAATGCTCACATATTTGTTTCAATTAACAAACATTGAATTGTTCAAAATGATATTAGTAATCAGCAAACTTTATGTATACAGTACAGTATATAAATTTTATAAATTTTTATAGAATTTGATAACTTTAATTTGATTTATTTAAAAAATTTTCCAAAATTTTTATTTTTTTATTCCCATATACAAATTATTAAAGCATACCATTTTTAAATTTGTTTTTGATGTTTTTAAATATAATTATCGATAATTCGCAACACCCGATATCTAATTTTAGAATTTTTCTGTACGTATATTGTAATCCGCAAGAACACACCGAGGTTTAAAGGGAACAGACCCAGGTAAGTGTGACCACGTGCACGCCATTTAAACGAAACCTGTGAAATATTGTGTTACGTTTTGCATCGGAATTTCGTAATGTATAATAAATCATGTCAGGTTTAATCAATTAGATTAATATCTCTTGTAAAATTTAGATCCTAATTATTGGTCTACATTGGAAGACCGAACAAGACTCGCCAAGACAATGTATTATAATGGTTAGAAAAGGTTCACAACCTTACTAAAAAAGGAAACGCACTCCCGCCTTTGTTTTGGCATTTTAGTTGTGATTTAGATATTGGTTAAATTAGAGTTTAGATGCAATATAAAGTCACGTGGGTAGCTACCTTCTTCGATACCTCTATCATATTCGTTTCAGAAAATATCATTGAGAAAAATCTTCCATCTCTGTCACCGTTGTAACTTTTTATAAAAAAATTTCTCAGAATGCATACATATTCTATTATTATGTGGTTCAAGAATTAAGCGTAATGTTAAAATAAAAATGGTAGGTGCATATAAATCCAACGTTTATTCGTTATTTATTATTCTTTCGTATTTTGTTTATTGTCTGTATATAAATGAAACGTGTGTGTTGAACTTATTGCTTCTTTTATTGGGCCATCTATCTTTATTTAAAATTATGACCGAAATGAATGCATTAATACATTGTACTCCCGACTCGAACCAAGGATAGCGAAGTTCGGGATGATGTGTAAATTTGGAATTCCCAATTTAGGAAAACTAATTAATTTCTTTTTATCCAAATAACAACATGCGTTCTGTTATTCTTGATATTTGCTTTTTCCACCTTTCTTTTCCTCCATCATTATTTCCATTCATTCCCTTTCATATCCCCTCGTTCCGTTTTTTCCCTCCATTCTTTTTGTGTCTTAACATTAAATTCTTTTATGTTAAGATTTCTAGAATCTTTTATTATTCTTAGACCACCCGAATTTTCGACTGAGAACCTAGCTGGACTACCTGTCTTTCACCGACACAACCATTAGTTCATCAAATTTATACGAAAAGACAAAGATAGATACCCTTATCCCAAAAGCTTAATTTGTATTTGGAAATCAAGAACATATTGAATTCAATTCGCACGACTGATCCCTCTGAGAAATTACAAAAAAAATAAAAAATCAAAGTAGTCATACATCATTTGAAGTGCAAAGATGTGCTTCTCGACAGCCAAATGGAAGAGAGAGGAAGTCCAAGATCATAAATTTGATTTTGTGGACGTATCCGACTTTTATGAGAGCAGCATTCTACGAAAATTTAAATACTCAATCCTTTTCATGGTGGTTCTAAAATCCATACTTGTGTACATGGCTGATATGTGGACCGCAGGAATTTTGCTCATTTTTGACCGTTGGAGTTCGGCTATACAACCGAAAATCCCTTTCTTCATCTCGAAGTGGATTTATGTCGGTTGTATTTTCTTCTCGTTTTTGTTACTGGCTTGGGACATTAAGAAGGCCAGACACATAATAGCGACTAGAGACATCTCCTACGCGTTCACAAGTACAATTGCCTATAGATACTATACTCTGAGAAGTTATAAGCATTATTGCTTCTTCAGTCAAATAAACAATTCCAAGAAAAAAGCTGATGAAGTCGCTTTCTTCGTGTTCTTCACTTTTAAAGGTAATTCCGATATGTTAATGCGTATGAATCACCAATATTTATGATGGACATGAAATCAACCCTTTCGATTTTTTTTGTTTTCTTTAATTTCTCAGGTTGGAAGCGACTCATATTTGCCGAGGCGCCCCGCCAAATGATTAATGCCGTAACTTTATATTCGGTGCTTCAATCAACTAAGCAAAAAAAATTATTTCATATCAACTCCTATGGTGATGGCATGATCCAACGTATGACCTTAGGTTTCATGGCCTTTACTCTCTTGGTTTTCTTCCTGTCGTTCACCATGCTTCTGATTGCTTTCCTTATGTATATCCCGCTGCTGTGTCAAATCAGGGGAAATTTAAAAGAGTATTGTTGTCATAAAATCGACAAGAGGTACTTAACTAAACGATGAAAAAAATATTGCGTATTTGAATCAACTTTGCGAAAATTAAGATTTATGTGTTCATTGCTATAGATTAAGCGAACTTTTGAAAAAGAAAAGTCAGAAACGAGTTCAACAAAGACAGCAGGAAGCATCGGCGGAAGCAAAAGGAGATTTTAGTCATCTTAAGAACAAAAAAGGGGAACTAAGGACATTCCGTCAGCCTAAATTGCCTGTTTTCCAGGATGATGACACACTGCCACTTCCACCCTATGGCCAAGTCGCGTACGTCAACATGCCCGATAATATGAGTCTACCACCATACGGCTCGAGATCTAATACTCCAGGACCAACAAGAACGGGTACCCCAGTTTCCAGAACTGGCACTCCAGGACCAAGAGTTGGTACCCCGGTTCTTAGAAATGGAGGTCCAAGACCTGGTGTTCCAGGGTACGGTCCACCACCAGGCGGTCAACGTGGACCATTTATGAGTCGTCGCAACAGTAATTCTTCTATTCGTTCTGATATGACTGGGATCTCGGCTTATTCAGGAACAACAACGTATACATTAACTGGCCCAGGTTATCCCGTTCCCAGCAGATTTCACACTCCTATTCCTAGGGCTTATACACCGACAATTGCACCTGCGATAGTGGCTACAATGCAAGATCAACAAAATGACACCGACGATCCTTATGGTGGCGCACTTGATGATTATGATTTCGACCACGAGGAAAGATCTCAAGTGTCGCATGAATTTAACACTGTTATTAATAATTTCCGTAACGATTTTAATCCAAATGATGTGTCACAACCGATAACCGACGTTAGGCATATGCCACCTCCGGCGGTGCACCAACCATACATGCGTTCGAGTTCACCGACGCCTTCAATATCTTCTACAACTTCTAGCCGTCCTCGACCACAACCACCAAACGCATCTGGTAATATAACGGTTCCTTCGAGATATTACCACCAACCTGAACAGAGAGGCCTTAGACAAAACAATTATGCACAACAAGGTGGTGGTCAGACTAAATCTGATCAAATATATTAGACATAGAAATCGCCTGCAATATAATTTTCCTGTAAATTTAAAAAGCATCTTAATATACACGAACTAATATAGTTGTGCTTAGAAAATACACAATTTTTTTTTGGCATTAATAAAATACGGATCACGGTGGGTTAGGTCATTTCACATTAAATTATCTATACTTGTATCATAGCAAATAATTTTCGAATCACGTTATTTTATTCCATCGATATCAACATAATCAATGACCAATATATTATGTGAATTTCGAAATTTATAATTTCCATTTGCAAAAAAATTTTGAATCCTTGGTAATAAAGTTTCTTTAAAAAGTTAACGCGAATTTTGTGATCGAAAAGATTTCGCGTAATAAGCATAAACATACTTCCTCGTATCAACTGAAAGATAGTTTTGAGATCGAAATTATTAACGAAACAAGTACGGTGCCAGGTTGATTACAATCGTACAAAGTATTGGTAAATTAAAATTGCAATTATTTGCTTATGTGAAAGACAGATATGCTAAATTCTATCGATATTGTTAAATTTTTTAAATGAACTTACCATATACGGTACGTAAACAATACATCAACGACAAAGTATCGTGAGGCACAAGAGATCAGAAAACCATATCAAGAAAGGATAAATGAAAAGAAAAAGATTCATTACGCAAGGATCAACTCAGAGAAACAGAAAGAGGATCTTGACAGGCAATGCGATTACCTTAGGCAAAAATGTCCAGACCACGAACTCAAAAAACATCGGGTCAGGTCTCACATCCATTTTGGAACGATCGTACCGAGCGATATCGAAAAGGTTGTGGTTTACCAGAAAGGATCGACTCGGCAGCTTCTTGCAAGAACAGTACAAAGATCGTGGTACTTGGTTCGGACGTTAACGTTGATAACATCGAATTTAGTGAGCTTGCCGAGGACTTATTATCAGTCGTTACTATCTTCACGGCGAGAAACAATGGGCTCAGATCAGTTGGGAACCGAAAACGACAAAGAGAGATTGAAAACACGAAATATACGGATTTACCCAACACCCAAAGAAAGAGAAAAGCTAAGAAAATGGATGGGAATTGTGAGATGGACGTGTTCTTAAGAGGGTGCAGGACGGTGGAATCACCGACATGAGCATCAACTGAACGATGAGTACTTTACAACTGAAGAACTCTGGATAAAAGAGACCCCTAGGGAATTACGTTTTTACGCGATTCGACAATTGATGGTCGCATGCAAGTTTCATGGAAATAATTTTCGAATGAAGTATCGATCAAAGTAGGATTTGAACACAAACCATCTCGATTCTTGCTAGGGATTGGAATAGGAACAGAGGGAAATACGCGTTCCTAAAAAATATTATCACCTTAAAACAATTACCAGATATCAAAAATACGGTTAGCATAACTATGAATCATCTGAGACATTTTTACTTGTATGTTCCGTTCCTTTAGATATCGTCGATAACCAAGATGATGTTCTGGAAAGGTAGCTTGATCCAGGTGTTTGCACGTTTATGACCGGCTATGATCAATTAATCGAGTGGGGTAACGGTGATTTTAATAAAATATTTAAATTATCTAAGAAATACGACAAAGATCTTGCTTTGGGAAGAACAAACAAGAGAAAGATTCCGTTTGAGAAAAAAGATGCTACAAATTATACAACGAATCTGTATAATCGATGAGTGCTATCATCAGCTGGACCGTTGTTTATGTCAAAATTACGAAAGATTTATCAAAGATGCATTTCAGGTTTCGGATGTGACTACATCATAAGGGAGTTCAGAGGTTGCAAAGTAATTCAATGCACTGAAGAGTATACATCAAAGACGTGTGGGAATCGTGAATTCATAAAAAATGATCTCGGTGGATCAAAACGTTTAGATGTGATTCGTGCGGGATGGAGAAGGATCGGGACGCAAATGGTGCCAGAATATCCTGCTCAAATATTTAACGGAGGGTCAAGTTTGGCCTGACTTTTCAACGTATTTCAAGATTGCCATTGGCGCATTGTGGACTTAAACCTATATGGGATACGATATGCATAGTAAAGACTAACTTTATTTATCTACAGCAATTATTTTTTAAATATAAGAAATAAGCTTTAAAAAATTTATTAAAATTAATCCCAAGATACAGTAATAATTATAGAAACGTATAATGGTGTGAATTAATTATCATTAAGTTTTACGATAATAATTATCAATAATTTAATTTATAACGATAAATAATGAATTTTTTTTTTAAAGGTTAATTTTATATGATTCAAACTTGAAAGATGGGTGATATAATTATTTTTTTCGATTTATTAATAATCTAAAGATTAAAAAAAAAAACCATTCGAAAATTGGATTAAAGTACAATATATGAAAATCGATCATTTTGTAATTTATATTACTGAGAATTTTAAATATCTCTGTGAATTTTTATCATTCATAATAAATTCCTTTATTCGATGTGAATTTTGTCGCTTGAAAAAAAAAAAAACTTGAAAATACATTATTAAATGTACAATTAAAGCCACTTTCGAAACACAGCCGAAAAATCGCAACCGTACTATTCATTCAACGTTTGGAAGCTTGATTGACGGAACACCATTGAAACAGCTCACTTTAAACTCATAATAAGACCAAATTTTGAATTATGTATTTTTTCGGACAGAACATACGTATACATCACATGATCACTATGCAATTTCAATTCCTTCGTTCACCCGTCCAAGCCACAAGCACCGCCCGGTCCCCAAAAACTATTACAGAGACGAAATTGTTTTATAGGTTCCTTTCGAAAGAATATTCATACTGTGCCCCATATATTAACTTCTTAATAGTTATTTGTAATGTGATAGACCGATCTTTATTTTTCCATGATCATAATTTTTCTGAGAAGGAATTTATT